GAGACTGTGGCCCTAAGACACCCTTCTGACCTGGAAGTGAAGCCATTCCCAGAGACCACCTTTCAGCCAAATAACAGGCAGGTGCATAAAATGAACAATAATACCCAGGAGAAATGTGCTCCATAGGACAATCAATTATGCTAGACCAGAAGGACAACACTGGCCTGAAAGCAAAGATGAGAAGGCAGGGAGGGCTAAAAATCTAGACAAAACGAAACAGGGAACCCAGGGCGGAAATGAGGAGAGTGCACTTCAGGAGACCCAAGCAACCTCATGGAACACTTCACGTACAAACTATCAAATAGAAAACTAGTTTTCTCTGTAAACTTTCACCTAAAGCACAAATTACAAAAAAAAAAAAAAACCCATAGAAGATTTTTTGGCTTCTTCCATGGCTGTCCATCATCAACAGATAAAGTACAACCCCCTGGCAAAGCACCAAGGTCCTCTATGATCAGACGCTGCCTATCTTTCCAGGACCTCCCGTTATTCCCAGCTTAAGCACAGTGAAACCCACAGACTGTTCTTTCCACACCTCTGCCTCTTTGATCCTGTTAAAAATTCTGCCTAGAATACCCCTCCCCTGGCTAATTCCTATCTGCTCTTTAAGATTCAGTTCAGATTTTGATATGGAATTGCAGTATAGTAAATTACATAGTGTGGCTTTTCTAGCCATAGTGTTTGTAAACTATGATGGAATTTACCGTGATCAACTGAGTAGCTCCTAATTGTTAAAGTTATCCACCTGGGGTATTTCTGTTGAGCGTGGCAGGAAGCAATCTTCTGGGAAGTCCTCTCTCTCTCAGGTGTATACAACTCTGATGTTGGGACTGATTAGTTTGGCCACTCTGTCAGGCTCAAAAGGAGCCCTCCTAGAGGCTGAAGGAGTCTCTCTGACTGCTGGCTGAGATGTGCTACTGAGAGAAATGTGCTGCTGAGAGACACGAGAGAGACGTGCTGCTGAGAGAGAGACACGAGAGACAAGCACTGCTGAGAGAGAGACGTGCTACTGACAGAGACTGAAAAAGATGGCCGGCTGAGGGAGACTGAGTGCATTCCTGAACTTGAATTGTAGCCTGTTACTTCCCTAATAAACCCCATAATCTGTGAGTTCTGTGTGGCCACTGCAGTGAATTATCAAACCCAGCAGAGAGGTGGTGGGTGCTGCGGGAGGAACAGCTGGTGTCAAGATTAGTAAGGGTATTAGTTAGCAAGACATGCTGGTGGCATGTCTGGCCTTATAGGAGCAGGCATGGGGCTGCTGATGGTGATTCTGCCCTCTTCTTTTGTAGTTAGAGGAGGTCAGAAGATGCCACCTCCCAGCCCCTTTTGCAG